TTTTTTTTTTTGTAGGCGATGGTTGGGGAAAGAATTGAAATGGATTTAGCTCTCAGGACATGGCAGGGGTGCCGTACTTTATTAAAAGATTGCAATCCTAGAGACAAACCTGGCATGTGGTCACTCTCTGTGCAGTTGCAGTGAACTGTCTAGGTGACTGCAATGTGAATTCGCTTTGCAAGAATATGCGAGCTTTTTTTTCCTCTCAAAAATCTTCGCTTTTCGTTCTTGAGTCTCACTATCTTCTGCTTTGCTTCCATGCACTCTGGAGTGGCAGAAAATTTCATGACATTGCAAGCTGGTTATTGCATTATGAAGTTTTTGACAGTACTGTTAATGTGAAAATTTCTTCGAGGATTTGCTATGATGCAGCAGGAAACATGCACGACGACGTATGGGTTATATTGAATGGATTATGGCTTTTCAATCTCGCTGCTTTTCCACAATTAGGAATGCTAACCACTTTGCTGTAGCTATCATTTGATACATTCATAGGTCTAAGTCCCCTCCTACCACATCGATTCTGGCCGGACAGAAATCTTCGTTTGCGATAACCTGTAGTTGCCTTCATTCTGCAGTTCTGCAAACGCTGACAGTGCTGGAGCAGGTGTAGCACTCTTGTGAATAACAGTACTTTTTATACTGCACAGGCTGTCATGTTGGTGTGAACTTTCATAAATTGTAGTAACTCTTTTGTTATGCGTTTTTTTGCAGCTGTGCAATGCAGAAAATGCATACTGACGAGAGGCTGTGTGTCTGTGTCTGTGCGTGTGTCTATGTGTGCGCTGTGCGTCTGTACCGATTTCTCATCTTCAGTCCCACAAAAGTTACGGGGCTGAAACTTGGGGAACTTAATCTACATGCACGTGCGGGCCCCAATCCCCAAAATGGGTGCCCTCACCCGCGTGGTACCCACGTACGAGTCCGCCAAAGTTTCTTATGGGTAAGTTGCTAGCTCAGGGACCAGAAACGCCGGGAGGTTGAAATTTTAAGGGAACATTCCCCGTCCAAGTAGGTATTAATGAGCTCAAGCCCAGCCCCCGGATAAGCGTGGTACCCACGTACGGGCCCACCGAAGTTTTTTTCGGGTAAGTGGGAGAAGAGCCAGTGCATGACTCCCGACAGCTGCCTCTCTTAGACACATGATGCTGAATGAGTCCATGTTAAATTTGCAAGTAAAAGAGATAGCTCCGAATATCGTCAGCTACTCCGTTTGCATGTACCACACGCAGGAACGTGTCCGGCCCGTGTCATGTTAGAGGAAACAATAATCAAGTGCTGCATGAAATCTATTTGAAAGAACGAATATCAATACGCAATAAAACTGTTGCTAATAAAAATGCACCTCAAAACAATGTGGAAACTAAAAGAAAAAGCACAAAGCGATGCAAAAAAGACACTTTGTAAATGCCGTGCAGTCAAGCAGAGCAAACCGTTAAAGCGAATGAGCGACGAGCATCAGCCGAACAGATACAACAGCGATTAAAATTGTGTAAAAATGCCCCATCAGTACATCGAAAAAGCAGCTGAAGCACACCTCCTCCTGCGATGACATTCCTGGGCAGTTGTGCTGCTGCAGCTTGGGGCCAAAAATTCTCGTTCAATTTGGCTTCACATGTGCTTCAAATTGTTGGCGCACTGCTGAAATAGCACGGCGCTGGGTGAGCGTCTCTCACTCCAAATTCACATTTCCTTTTTTTATTTCCTTACATCTTACATAAGTAAATACCAACTAAAAGTAAAACTAAAGTACAGTTGTCACGATCTTTCACATACACACCGGCTGGTGTGAATACATTACCGTTACTGTGATGCTGAGATACAGCGGGCGCAGTTAAGCTAGGCCCTCGATGTTTCCCCTATTTAGTGAGCATCGCCTGTTCGGCATATGTGCGCCACTTCTTCGGGGCTATCCGACTAATAGGTTACTTTTTCGAAGATATCACTTATGATATGCGCTGCATCCACCAGCTACTCTTAATACTTCCGCTAAAACTTAGCAGGTGACTAATTTTTTTTTTTTTTTTGATCTCTTTTCTTGCAGTTTAGTGCTTTCCAGTCAATTTTGGGACACTGAATAAATTCCGGCTTGCCCTTCGAATTTTTATGCGTTTTGTGCTGTGTAACAGCAGTACAAAACGCATATTGTTACGGGGTTGTCTG